GCTGGAGGATTAAGCTGCTGCTGTTAGGCGTACAGGGGAGGTCCCAAGCAGAGCAGCACGCCAACCTCAGGGCAGTTCAAAGCGTCTCCAGGTGGTCACTGTTACTAGGGGCTATTCAGAAGCTAAGACTATCAAAACACTAGTTTCCTACCTTAAACACACAACTTCCCTCTTTTTTTCGAAATGATAAATGTCAATGTCCCCTTTCCAGAGGACGTTAGTAAGATCCACAAGAGCAAAGTCCTAATTCCTAAGCTTGACATCAATCGAAGCCCTTCATAGCCTTGCCCCAATCTACTTTCCTGGACTTGTCATCTGTCACTCCCTTTCATTCTTTCTACATTTAAGGGAAACTACTGCCAATTCCCAGAAACCACCTGTGCCTTCTCGTCTCCACGCCTATTTCTGATGGGTAAATCTTTCCCACGTCAACTTTACCTCTCCCTTCCCTCTACTTCCCGTCCACCTTTATTTTGGAACCTACCAATGTTTCAAGTTGAATGCCCCTGCCCCTCCATCGCCAACCAGCCACATGCATTTACCTAGACCTCACCATGAGCCGATCTGTTTAGCAGCTGGGGGTGGCCTGGTGAACTACACAGAAAAACTGCATGCCACCCCTCTTTTCTCAGAGCATCCCTCCTCAGCTCAAAGGGACAGCTCGCCTCTGGGCTCCTGCAGGGAGATTTCTACTTTGAATTAAGGTTATTTATGTACACTCCTCATCTCCTTCAAATATATGCTCTGAGAGGGCAGCTGTAGGATCTGCTTCTCCTGGAAAATCAAAGACAGTGTTTTATATATAATCACTCAATATTTGGTCCCAGGAGGCACCATGGGAGGGCAGGAGGTATTTGGACTCCTGGATAGGAAAAGTGATTTAAAGTCACCTTGAAGCAAACCACGAAAGCCTTGGTCCACATATCTACAAAATGTAATACCACCATTTACTTTTTCTCAGGGGGAATAAGCATCAAATAAAGTAACATATGGGAACTTACTTTTTAAATTATCGAATTAATTATTCAATTGGTGCTAATGGAATGCAAGTCCCTGGTAACCTCTCAGAGAAAGCATCCTACAAACCAAATGTGTTATTTTAGCAATCCCAATGGCTTTTCAATGTCTCTACAAATAACTTCTGCCAAGAGGCAGTATTATTTTATTTGAAATACTCTAGCTGTGACAACATGAATTCCTATGCTCTTCTTATTAGAGGAACTTGTGATTCTATAAACAACTTAAAAATACCAGAAGGTCATCTTCACTATATCCCTATGGAATGGAAAGAATCCACTAAAGCAACAACAGTTAACCTGCTGGCCCACCCAACTGGGGACATGTTTCCATTTTTTAAGAAGGCCAAGGCAGGGAGAGCAAGAAGGCAAAGCTCAGAATGCCACACACACACACACACACACTGGCACACAAAACATTATTATAATTAAAAATCTGCTTATATTATAGGAAATACCACTTAGTGTAAATATTCTGTTACATCATACTAATATCACGTTCATAAAAATGAGTTTATTCTAAAATCTCAGAGTACTTCCCTTGGATGTCATCCTCATTCGGGCCTCACTATTAAAGTCACATTAAGTGGAAGTTATACTTAAGATTTCCCCAACTGAATACTCAAAAACAGAGAGCATGTGCTTAAGAGTAATGAAAAACGCGCCTGCCTCTCGCATCTGAACAGCCCAGGCTCACCATCAGCAGGGGCCAGAAACACCACCACAGAAAACGCAGGATAGAAGGGAGACTAACCCTGTGCCTGCTACAGAACCACCCTCTGCAGACCTGTCATCCCCTGCATCGTGCAGCGGAGAGACATGGGCCCAAGAAGACAGAAAGCCAGAACGTGCCCAAGGGCTTGATGAAGCCAGATCTGAACCCAAGGCTGTTGGCCTCTCAGTTGTTTGTTTTCTATTATATCATTGAGCCTTCCCACACACTGAACCCTCCACAAGGCCCTTCACCTTGTCCCTCCTACACATCATGGTCAGACCTCAGGGAGTTAAGTAAAGAGGGGACATAAGGAGATCTAAGATCTACACCTCGCTGACTTAATCTATACTCAGGAAAACTCACATAAGCCACTGCGCCTAAGGTTCCTTATCGAAAAAAGCAGTGACAACAATATTTCTTCCATTTCTTTAAAACACACACACACACACACACACACACACACACACACACACACACCTGGAAATCACCATGTAAATTCAAAAGCAGTTCTGTTGTTCCAATGATCAAAATGGATTATTTCATTAAGGTGCCTTGACTATGAAGTCCATATGGTTTTCTCCATATTATTCTGACTTCTTGGAGCAGGGGCCAGCAAACTATGGCGCTCAAACCAAATGTGGCCAACTGACAGTTTTTGCAACAGCCACACCCATTCTCGAACATACTGTCTACGGCTGCTTTGACGACCAGGACAGGGTTGAGTGGTTGGGACACAACCTGTATGGCTGAGAGGTCTAAAATATTTACCATCCGTCCCTTTACAGAAAGATTTTGCCAGCCCCCATCTTTTATAACCGAAGGCAGTAGCTAACAAGTTATTGGAGGCCAAGGAGAATTGCTAACAAGTTACAGTAAATTTTGGATTTTCCTCACACTGTACTATTTTTCCGTATACACATATCTTATGTATCAAAAGATTTAATATAATATAAACAAATATATATAGAGAGAAAAGCAATACATTTGAAAAACCACTTTTTCTATGTAATTAATAAAGTTCTGTTAAACCAGTAAAGTCCACAAAGATATTGTGTATGTCTGAAAAATGGATTTATAAAATTTTCTGTTTGTCTGAAGAACCATAATCTATAAATTTTACAAAAATGCCATTCTTAAAAAAATAAAACTTGTCCCTCAAATTATCCAGTATTTGAATTAAAATGTAAAGAGGCAAGAGATATAGCTCAGGATGTAAATGAAATAGTTCCCATGATTTCCGATGTGAAACTGTTCCTTACTACCCCCCGCCCACCCTCTTTTATTTTACTTTACTTTTATTAAACTACTCTGCCAATCCTTTTGTGACAGAGTTGAGTGCTGGCTTTGAAATGTTTCTGTAAATAATTTTTCTGCATTTTAAATTTTGAACAGGTTACCTGTATTCTGTTCCTAAACATTTGCTCAAATGCCAGAGGACGAAAGTGTATGGCGTGTTTTAACAAGCAGACTTCCTCTGTTTCTCAAAGTCTTTAAATATTTAGTTTCAAAATGAATACACTGTGAGCCAAAAAATTACCACCCATCCGATTACTTTGTCATTCCTACTGTAAGGATTTGTGAAAAATGCAAGGAGGTGGGGGAGCAGGCGTTGTTGGCGATGGAGGAGGGACAGCAACGAGAGGAAGGAAAACAATCAAGAAAAGTAAAAGTGAGAAAAGCCATTAAGCCCACAATAACCTGCTTGGAACTGTCTTTTCCCTTCCCCTCCTTGTCTATAACCCTCTGAAAAAGCCTGAAAATCATATTACTTATTCCTCTTTCAAAGGCATAAGGTTTTAGAGGTGCAATGAATTTCAGGGGTCACGACACCTAAGCCATTTGTTTTACGGATGAGAAACACTGAGGTTCAGAAATATGAACTGTCACGTCCTGTGGATTAGCTGGTCATTAGTGGCAGGACAAGGACCAGAATCCGGTTTCCTGATCATCAGTTCCACACACTTCCCATTAGACTCGGCTCTCTGCCCTGCTGAGCGTAATGTGCCATTTGGCACCTGACAGCTAAATTCTTTTAAAAAGATGCCTAAAGCACCCCTATTGTAGCCAGGAAATTCACAATACCTTTTTAAATAGTGGCTATGGCGCATGCTTTTTCCAAGTACAGACTAACAACAACCCGAGTTAGACCTCGTAAGGATTAGGAGTCGCAATAAAGCAGAATAATCCAAGAGCAAATAGGGACCTCAAGCTGCCTCCCTGTGTCTGTCTTGATGGAAATCAGTTTGAAATAGACACCCCCCTTCTCTTACCCCCTCCCCCGAGACATACACTCCCAAGACTAAACAGCAATATTCCATAAAAAGACCAGATCTAGCCAGTGTTATTATCTGTCTGACATTTGGGTTATTCTTGTGAGTAACTCGTAAAGTAACGTGGGTGTCTGTGATTATTTGAGTACACATGGCAAACCATAATTGGTCAAGAAAATAATAAAAGACATTTTTCCGTGACAAAAATACTGTATTGAATGACAACCTGGCAGTGTGACAGCATTCGGTGGACCGCAATACTTTCCCCACTTACAAAAAAAGTAAAAAAGAAACAAAAATTTTTAAAAAAAGTTAAAAGCCTTTTTTTCTTGCAGTCAGTCATGACTATGGTTCATATTTAAATTATTTATGAAATATTCAAAGGTTTCTAGTGCTGACAGTAATCCCCTAGCATATATCCCCCCAAAATCTATGTCCTATATCAATTTATAATCCAGGCTTTTGATAGAGAGCAGAAACACAGCCAAAGATGCAAGTCTGTGTCCCTTTCTACAAGCTAAAACACAGGGCTCCAACAATTTTTAAAATTTCTTTAGAACATATTTGTGGAGTACAAATTTAAACTTAATCACCACCTTCCAAACGTTACAACAGGAGTCATATCTAACATAAATTCTATGTGTCACTGAGAAGAGAAGATTTGAAGTCCATCAGCACAAATTGTGGTCTTCATCTCAAACTATTTCCTTCCATCCAACTGATACGTCCCCATCACCACACGGCTGCCTCAATGATAAGCAATAAGGGGCAATACCCTAGTTGCCATTTCTCTAAGAAACCAATAACCAGTCTAAAAATTATTCCAAAAGTAATTTAAAAGGTCTCTTGAAAAAAAAAAAAGAAGCATATTTAGACTCAGAGAAACCCATTCAAACAGAGAGCAGTGTGTGAATGGGCAGTGGGGGGGGGGGGCATCTAAATGCTACGATCTCATAAAACTGCTCGATAAGGACAGTCAGGGACTGTGGAGGAACTCACCCACTCGGAAGTTCGTGGCCGTCAGGGTGTCGGCAGCATGACCATTCTCACTAATGAGAGTGGTGGTGTTCCCCTTCTCACAGCTGTTCTGACAGCTGCCCTTGGTGCAGGTCACTTTACAGATGCTCGGAGTAAAGACCACCTTGATGCGGCCAGTGTGGTTACTCACTAGGAGCGGAGGCAGGGAGAAAAAGAACAACAAACACATCAGCTTAGTATCCATGAACTTGCCTCAGAAGGTTTCAAAAAAAAAAGAAGGTGAAAAAAAGAAAGGAAAGGGGCGCGAGGGGGAAAGAGAGAGCCCACAACCCGACAGGTTTAAGGAAGGAGGGAAGCCGTCAGTGCTCGCTGCTCTGTATCCAGTGGTGTCTCTGAAACAGGAGTAGGAAGCTTAGCAAACAGAACTCTGGGATGCACTCCAAAACCACATTTGAAGTCGAGTCACTGGAGTGGGATTACTAACCACAATGCTGCACTTTATTCACGGGCAGACAAAGAGCAGTACCGAGGGCACGACAGATGAAAGAGCCAACCCTGACAGGCAGATGTAATGCAAAGAGGTTGGCCATGCACCTAGTGGTGAATAAACGCTTGTGTCCTCGCCTCGCATACTTTCCCTGTTTCTCCACTTATGAAGTCACCGTTGCAGCCCGACCCCTGGAAATGTTTTAGGCATGCGGCATGTCTGAAAACATCTGTCTCAAATCTCCTGGCACCGCCGGCCGCAGTGATCGAATCCCGTGACGCAGCTGCGGGAGCCCAGCTTTTTCACAACTCCGGGGCGTTCTTTCTCCGTGTAAACGTATGCAACGTATATTTTGTTTGAGTGTGAACAGGGTCCATCTCGGGAAAAGTGAGGCCAGCTCGCAGGGCTGCACGGCTGCCTCGATTCAAATACCACCCTGGAGCTCTCGCTGCTGCACTCACAGGGCCCTCGATCAACCAAACGCTGTAACTCGGTTGCACAAATGCATAAAATGGGCACGAATCTAAATGTCAGGTTCTAGGTTGGAGCCCTGGCTCAGCCTGGTGTGACTTTGGACCTGTCATTTCACCTTTCCTCTAAGACAGGAAAGAATGGGAATGGATGCTTTCTAGCCAGTTCTAGCTTTCAATGTCCTTATCAGGGGTCAGCAAGCTATGGCCCCCGGATCAAATCTGGCCTGGTGCCTGCTTTTATAAATAAAGTTTTACTGGAACACGCCCACACTCATTCATGCATGCACTGTCTACAGCCACTCTTGGCCTCTAATAGCAGAGCTGCCTAGAGAATGTATGGCCTCACCCAGAGCTGCTGTTCACAGCCAAGTCCCACTATGAACTCTCTGGCAAAGTGTGATACCGAAACCCTATTCTAACTTATTTCTATATCTGTGGCAGCCAGTCTTTTCTCTTTCCGGGAGCCCAGGCAGAAAGCAAAGATGGTAGCAGCGGCTGAAGACAGTTGGTTCGTTTTTTGAGGCTTTAGGGCCAGTAGAAAACAGTGCCTGATCTGCGGCCCCGGGGTCCCGCCTCTGCCCTGCCCTGCCCACCAGAAGCAAGTCTCCCCCCTTATACTGCTTTTATTTTACCACGATTATACTTTCAGAAAATCATCGAAGAGGCCTCTATAGACAGGCCCTCAACAAAAGAAACTGCCGTCAACATCTGAGTTTGGAAACAAAGAACCGTAACCAAATAAGCCATTAGAATTTCAAGGCTGGAATGGGGCCTCCAAGGTCCTCGGACACAACCTTGATGGAAACGAGTCTACTGACAGGGAGCTCACTCTCCACTAAGTTGGCCCATGCAGTTACGGGCAGTTCCTAGCAAGCGCTCTTCCTTCTGGAGCTGAAGCGTACCCTCACAGTCGGCGGCACCCACGAGTCCTAATTCAGCTGCCCAGGGCTCACAGTCTAATGCCTCCTCCACACGGTAGGCCTTCAAGTTCGCAAAGATAACTGCCGCGTAAACAAAGAAGGCTGCAGTTAGAGGGACGTGAAGACACCAGCCCCGGTGGGTCCTCTTCACTTTACAATAGAAAACAATTCCTCTGGAGGAGAGATACCACCCGTTCTTTTCAGATGTTTTTTCCGAGGCCATTTCTTCTGCATGAGCCGGTGCTTCTAACAAACACAGGAGGCCAGGACCCACAATCTGAGGTGGGGAGAGACCCTTGCGGCCGACCAAGTCTTCCAACACCTTACAACATGGTGTGCAGAAACCTTCCTCTCAAAGGCCAAATAGTAACTCTGTCAGGGTTCCGGGCCTAAAGGACTCTGTCACAACTATTCAATGCTGCCGTGGTCACAGGAAAGCAGCCTGTCAGAAACAATATGTAAATGAGTGGGGGCAGCTGCGTTCCAATAAAACTTTATTGAAAGAAACAGTTTGCCGACTTCTGCTTTAAATGCTTAGATGACATTCAAACTTTTCTACGACTGTATCTCAGAGATTTTGCAAACGACAACAGAATTCAGATTTGACAATCAGTTTTATTTCTTTACAGTAGCACAAAAAAAAGAAAAGAAATCAGCCTACACTCTAAGCTGTTAAACGATGCTTAACAAATATCTTGAGAATAGTTTGTGTGTGTGAAGCCCAAGGATAAAAAGAGACAACATAGTCCCACTTCAAAAGAATATAAACATATTTTTTCTGGCTCTGGGTTCAATAACGAAATGAGAAGTGGTGTGCCAACTATTTTGTCTTCTCTGGCATTAACTCGTGGCACCTGCCCTGCAGATGCTCGCATCGGCACCTAAATTATGCTCCCTCCGGCAACCAAAGACATCCAACAAAAGCAAGCGCTTGGTCGTCATTCCCAATTCACCTCCCAGCTCCAGTAGTCCCTAACAGGCACTTGAGATTCTCTGAGCCTATTGTTTTTAAAAACTGATTCTATTTCTTTGCCAAAAAAAAAATTGGCTTAGAATCATCTGGATTTTCAAAAAGGCAGAGACAGTTTCATATGACTTAATTCTGAAATTTTACAATGTTCACATCTTCTTGGAAGCAGAAGACACGTTTTATGTCATATTTCCCTTTGTGTTTTACAAGAATTCTGGTATAAAGGAATCTAATTCTAAAACAGACACTTGGATTCTCAGCGGGTGCTCCTGTGTCTTCAAGCATTTATTTATTCATTAGAAATAACTTTAGTCAACCTCAAAATCAGCGTTGAAACACAACTGTTTGACACTCAATTGTCCTTCACAGCTTTAAGAGGATCTCCATAAAAATTAAATGGATTAGGAAATACACTTTCCTATCCACACTCCTTTCAAATCATTTCCACATATCTAGGGTGTAAAGAGAGTTTGAATTATTTGTGTGGATGGTTTGTTTTTTTTTTAGGTGCCTTTAAAATGCTTTATTTGGGGAACTCTCAAAACTAAGTTAACACAGCTCAGAGTTTCAGATGCCTCACATGTGACAAGCTGAAGACAATGCGCCTCACCTCTCAAGAGTTCTGTGAGAACTGAGTGACAGTGGCCTTTCCTACGGAGGCCACTTGGTCCCTAAGAGGCCTCTTCCTCAAATGCCTTGACTAAGTGAAAACTTGAGGACCCCTGGGGCCTTGCATGGAGCACGTTCCAAATAAACATGAAATAAATGAAGTGACCCAAAGGATGACTGGACAACCCCACAGAGAGGGGGGGGCCTCACAGATGTGGGGGTCATTCTGGTATACAGCTCTGAAGCCCACGGTCACACTGGTGGCAGAAGACCATCCCCAAGTGGCACCTATGGGCTGACTAAGGATCGCACACCTGAGAAGCAAGAGGCAGGCCAGTCAGGAGTTAACAGAGGGATTGTTGGCACAGCTCTCACGTGCTCAGTCCTTCTGACCAAAAAAAAAAAAATGTAATTTTCAGGTCCCCATCGGTCCACCGGGCCCAGAAGTGTGAAGCAAGCACTTTCAGACCGTGGGTTTAGAGGCCTGGCTAGGAACACAGATTGCCTGGAGCCACGGAGCACCTCCACGGGGCCTCCTAGTCAGTCAGTCCGTCAAGACACTCGAGAGTCAACATCCTGTCTGCAGCTTCTGCCAGGCCCTGTGTGAGTTTATACCTCCGAGAAGAGGCGCTGGCACCCGGGGGAAGGCAAACCACAGATATTCCGAGTGAATGGCGACGGGGATGGGAGGGAAGCCGATACCCTTTCCATATAAAAAAAAAAAAAAGCTTTCATTGCTGCTTCCCAATCATTAATGACGGGGAAGAATTCAAAAATGCGAGTCTTGTTCCCGACAAATGGACTTCAGGCTAGAAAAGAGCACAGCTGCCCTCTTTCAGTCGTTAGACTAGGATGTGACCAAAAGCCACGGCAGCCAAAGAAATAAACAGAACAAGTTCAAGACTCACATCAGATGTCGGGAACGAATACCATCTCCCCTGCATTCAGCCAGAATGCTGCGACCCACAGCACATGACACGCATCCAATGCACACGGCGGGGACCACCAGCACAGGCGATGTCCTGGGGAGGCAGACACAGCCTCGCTGTGGGGACAAGCCACCACCCGGCCCATGACCGAAGCCAGTCCCAGGAGACCTCGGAGCTGATGCAGTGACAGAAACAAGGCTAATAGCTAATTCTTCCACTTGCAGTCCGCTGCTTGCCCGAAGGCCAAGAATTCTTTGAAGGACAAATCATCAACGTATTAAATAATGCTTAGAATAACAGGGCTTGATTGTTCGGCTCTCCAGGCTTACGTAACTCCTCCTGGACTGGTAAAATAATGCCCACAGAATACTCTGTGTTCCTCGAGAAGGGTGCTACGTAAAGAGAAATTTATATCAAGTCTGTTACTCCAACAGATTGCCCTAGTCCCGGGAAACCCTCCAAGAGGGAACTCAGAGGGGATGTCTCGTTCTGATGTGGGCGCTTCTTCAGATAAGCATCTAGAGTTACAATCCAACACCATCTCTCGAGTTTTTCCAAGGAGAAGTAACTAAACAAAGAGGGACACAGATAAACAGTTGCTACATTGGCGATATAAATGAAAACATCTGAGCTTCCTCCTCCTCTCAATTCTCCCTTAATATTCACTAAAGGCAACTGTATGTCAGATATTCATCTCTCTCTTTCCCATACACACGTGATTTCCTTCCATTTTTATACTGTAAGGAGACAGACCTATAGAGAGGCCAACAAGGAGAGCCTGTTAAATCATTTCATACAAGAATAAATTTTTGGACCCATTCCGAGTTTCTGAAAGAACTGCTTACTGCTCATCAAAAGCAGGGGTTAAATCAGGGGTGGGCAAACTTTTTGACTCGAGGGCCACAATGGGTTCTTAAACTGGACCAGAGGGCTGGAACAAAAGCATGGATGGAGTGTTTGTGTGAACTAATATAAATTCAAAGTAAACATCATTACATA